GGAAATTATCCAAATTTAAATGTGACACTATAGATTATCTTGATAACAAAGTTTATAATTGGCAACCTCATCGTCAGGGTGAACGTAATTTTACTAGGAACTCACTTACCAATAGTGATAGTGAGCAATCCTCACTAGGATAAGCCAATACCAACATTTTTTTAGAACAGCAATGCCCCAGAGGAGGAGGCACAAGATCAGGAGAGGGAAGAGACGCCGCAGCAAACCATCCAGATAGCCGGAGAGGGAGAGGAGAACATGGAGCCGCTAGTGGTGAACATCTCCAGGAGGGTTTTATCAGTAAATGAAATCTTGGTACTTAATAAGGGCCTGGGGTTTGTCCCTTCTTTTGAGGGTGACAAATTGAATTTGTATGAATTGTATGAATTTTTCCGTTCCTTACGTTTAAAAGTTTTCTTCGCAGGAGAAAATTTATCTATGGATGCTCAAATGGAAGAAGTTGAAGCTGATATTGAGGCCAATTCTGTGGACTTATCCAAATGTAAAACTAAAAGTAAGTTCACTCCACCTGCCACCAATTCTACAGTTGAAACTTTTATCAAGTTATGTCAATTGGAGATTTCCAAAATTAATTGGGTTAGGAGGGGCTCCTCCAATTTGACGCCAGATTAATGGAGGGCTGTCACTGCCCTTAGGACGATGACTCCATCCTGGTCCGAAGTGCGGACAAGGGTGGGGCCATTGTTGTCATGGATATTGAAAAATACAATACAGAAGCCATGACACAGTTGTCCAGCCGGGTTCAATATGAGAAACTTTTGGGGGACCCAACAAAAGAGTTCCAAGAAAGAATTGGGGTCATCACCCTTGAGGCTTTGATTCAGGGTTTAATCAACAAAAAGATCTTTGAATTTTTGAATACACCCACACCTCGGGTACCTTTCTTGTACCTGCTTCCCAAGATTCATAAGGATCTTATGAATCCCCCGGGCAGGCCGATTGTGTCGGGTTGTGGCTCATTGCTACAGCCCTTGGCCCAATATGTTGACGCCTATTTACAAGTGTTGGTGGTACAGATGAGATCATACATACGGGATACCAGTGATTTCTTGAGTAAATTGGATTGTTTGGGATCTTCTTGTAGGTATACACTTCTATGCACGATGGATGTATGCAGTTTATATACATCCATTCCACATAGGGGAGGCATGGAGGCTACAGCACAAGCCTAAAGCAGACTTGAGTTGGATTCAAATTTGAATGAATTTGTTTTACAGCTACTTGATTTGGTTTTATCATGTAATTACTTCACCTTTGGAAATGATTTATTTCTACAGATACAGGGAATGGCTCCATCATACGCCAATCTGTATATGGCCAAGTTTGAAGAAGATTTCATATCTCCACATCCTTTATTCAAGTTTGTAGTTGTTTGGTTTCATTATATCGACAATGTATTCTTTCATTGGAACGGCTCAGAGGCAAACCTTCTTTTATTAAAAATGGACTTGGATCAATAAGTGCCAAGCATCAAATTCACTTTGGAATATGATGCCAGTAGAATACATTTCTTGGAGTAAAAATGGTCTGTGTTTTGATCTTTTTCGAAAACCAACTGATAAAGTTGCATTTCTACAGGCAAATTAATTTCATACTGCCAGCATGATCCAAAGTCTTCCTTTTAGTCAACTATTACGTGTTCGACGGATTGTGTCACAGGAAGCAAACTTTGATACCCAGGCGAGGAGGATGTTGGAAGATTTTCGTTCCCGTGGTTATAGGGAAACCTCCTTACAGGAAGCATTGGTTAAAGTGAAAGACCTGGAGAGGACTTCTTTACTGAGGGCCCATGGTAAGAACAAGAGGAAAATGCCCAATCGTATCCCATGTGTCACCACATACTCAACCAAGTCAGGGTTTGTCAAACATGTTATTAATAAAAACTGGCACGTCTTACAAAGTGATGCAGCGATTGCTGATCTCTTTAGAGAGAGACCATTGATGGCCTACAAGAGATCCAGGAACATTAAGAGCTTGGTATTGCCTTCTAGAACCAATATGTCTTCTTAACCATCTACTACTTGGTTAACACCTATTAAGGGCATGCACAGATGTGGACATTGCGCTAATTGCAATAATGTTAAGAACTTCTCGAATACAGCCAAGGTACACTAAAGACAGGGGGATAACCCCTAGTGGAAATAGATAACAAGCATGAAGGATAGTGTACCCACAAGGAAAATAGGAGTCAAAAGGGGAGCAAGTATTAGATTATTAATTATAGACTAGAACATATAGGGCTTGGAAAAGACCTTAGTGTCTACAGACACAATAAAAATAAAAATAATAAACAACTTTATTGATATTAGAGATTAAAACACAATGATGCGAGTGAATCCAAAAAGGAATAGAAAAAACAAATAAATATATATAAGTATGTACTAACTTAGCTAAAAACAAAAAAGGTACATCTTAAAGGTATGACATGAATCCCGATGTCTTTAAGGATATATATATCTGTATATAGACACAGCACACGTCTGTGCTGTGTAAAACAAGAAGGGGGAGAAAAAAAAGGGGGGGGGGAGGTCTAAGTGTTTAGCTGTATGGATACCAGAGATGATATAGTATATAAGTGCTGGAACCGTAGAGTAAATGAATAGCTGGTTAAATAGTTACTATACTATCATAAGTCCCAATCGTTACATCAATGTCTGCAGACGCTTGGGTAGTTACAAATGATATGTTCGATACTATGTTGTCAGTAAGTAGCAATTGAATGCTAAATACTATAATCAGAAATCTTAAGTAATTGAGTGGAATAGATAGAAACGAGAGACTTAAATAATATAGTAAGATAATAACTAAACTCTCTAAAACTTCGTCACCACATCGGCATCTGGAGGGTATACAACAGGCTTAGTAAAGTGGAAAGCTATGTTAGTAATGCATAACCTAATGCACGTGAAATACTAAAACTGAGGAGAATTGTAAGGTATTTAGTAAACTCTCTATAGCTAAATCACCCCATCTGCATCTAAGAGGTATATTGCAGACTCGATTAGGTAGAAAGCTATGTTGGCAATGCGTGACCTAATCTACGTGGGATACCCAAACTGAGAGTCGATCAAAGTGATCAGATAGATAGACGAAGAAAAAACGAAAGGACTAGTCCTATACACTACAACCCCCCATGTGCCTTCGTGGGCACCTCCAACTAACCCCACTGAGAATAAAAAGAAAATCCCTCAAAGAACATCAAACGAAAAAAAATCTATATATAGTTAGATAAACAGCTAGATAGCGCCTAAGTCCACTGACGCGCGCGTTTCGCTCTCAAAGCTCGACGAGCTTTGAGAGCGAAACGCGCGCGTCAGGGGACTTAGGCACTATCTAGCTGTTTTTCTAGATAAACTTTGAAAATCCCTCAAAGAACATCAAACAGAAAAAAATAAATAAATATAGTTAGATAAGTCTTTTCCAAGCCCTATATGTTCTAGTCTATAATTAATAATCTAATACTTGCTCCCCTTTTGACTCCTATTTTCCTTGTGGGTACACTATCCTTCATGCTTGTTATCTATTGCAATAATGTTACCACTGGCTCTGAGTTTACGCATCCGAGAACAGGAAAAGGGTTCGGTATTAAGGAGTTCTTCAACTGTCAAACTGACCGTGCGATTTATTTCATCAAATGTCCCTGTGGTCTTGGCTATGTCGGTCAAACGTCTAGACCCCTAACCATGCGCATTGGCAAACACAAAAGTACCATTTGCACAAAAAAATTACACATTTCTTTTGCAAAACATTTTATTGATTCAGGCCACTCTGTGGCGCAATTGCGTTTTCAGGTAGTGATGT